GACCTGGGTAATTCCTGTTTCAGGGGGTACACGCGGAGAGAACTCCTCGTCTTATTTCGGCAGCTTTGAAGCCTCACCCTTCTGGCGTGACCTGTAACAATAGCGTAAGATTTATTAACAAACTAAGGCCTTTTCGAAATCATTAACAGGATAAAGATAAAGTATTTTAAGGTGTAAGATTTCCGGGCGTGAGGTTTTGATATAGATTATGTTTTGTTTGTTTTATAATGTGTGGTTTATTTTCACTTAATTTTTTTTTGGGTTTTTATTGTAGGGATCGTTGGAATGTTTTCGATTTCCTTACCTTTGTTGTTTATATCTTCGCCATACTGCCATTGAGAATTGCCATATGGGTGGAATCGGAATCAGTAAACAACAACAGGATTTTAGCTGTAGCTGGATATCTGTACGGCGTTAACACGATGTTTCTTACGTTAAGAGCTTTCGGATCGCTTTTAGAAACAACTAAAGGCGTTGGAACTGTACAGATCGCATTTTTTCATATCATCGGGGATGCAGTTGTGGTAGTGGTACATTTTCTAGCAATAACGGTGGCCTTCGCCAGCACCATAACTAAAGTATTTGTGGCCGAGAAGACAATGGTTAGCAAAAACACCCCTGCAAAGCAACCGTGAGTTTTTTTCCTGACTCGTTTTTATTGCAGTATTAGTTAACGCACTGTTTAACAGCGAATACGTGCAAAAATCAACCAAAATCACCAAATCACAGCAGCTGCTCAAAAATTCAAATTTGGTCCCCTTTTGCATAGAGGTAAACTTTAAGTGAGGATAAGAACGCTATGTATTTTTTCCTCGAAAGATCTCCTTTTTTCTAAGTCACTTAGTCTCCGTGAAAATTTCAAGTGTCCAAAACAAGGTTGAAACAGGGTCTAGTTTGCACGACCCGCGCATGGAAACAACCGTACTATTAGAAAAAAAAAAACAGTTCTCGTTGGAATATATCGTATAACTTTCGTTATACTACATCTATCTATTTCATCCTGAAACTTCTTAACTTTGGCGACTGAAACTGACAGTTTTTTGTGTCAATTTGTGAGGCTTTCAACTGTCTTTTTCCACTGGATGTACTAAATGAAATACAGACGCCAAATTTGTAGTGTGAGCTGTCGCGGTTGACAAGTATCCTGGGTCTCTAAGCTTAAAGCTTAACTTTATGTTTTAAGCCGGCTTGCCGGTGTTTGCTTTTATTTTCTCGGGGGGGAGGGGGGATTTCTCTCTAAAATCACTTAGCCTTTCCCTTAAAAATCACATGGACCAACGTGCCCTAAAGTTAACTGATTTGTGGATTACAAGATATTGTTTGATTTAAACTATAAATTTATTAATGGGAGCTTCGCTTTTAGCCCTGGCTAAATCTACATATTAGACAATCTTTCAGGTGAGATGAGATGGACAGGTGCTACAGTCTCACATTTCCCCATTGATTTAAAATTATTGTTTGACCAGGTCAATAGGCCTTTTGCAATAGTTGGTCCCGTTTTCAACCAGTCCTTCTGTAAACACAAAAACAATTCCCTGGATATGTTGCTAGCAGTAACTGAAAGAACTTATTGAAATTTCATCTTTGATCTTCCTACTTGTGTAAACTGGGCTGATGTCTGCGTTGATCTTCCTACTCAGGTCAGCCAGCTGTTTACGTACTACGTTTGCTGATTTCTGGTCTTTGAAGGGCAACACGATTCTGATTGGGGCTTCTCTTTTATCAGCCACTTGGGTGTGTGAATCCTCGGACACTTTGGATTCAATGAATTGGCGAATGGTTGACTGCACAAGGTCGTCTGGATAGCGCAGTCGGGAGAAGATCTCTTTAAGGCGTTCACATTCCTCGTGAAAAAACTTCCACGTAGACGAGAGTTTAAACGCACGGTTAAGCATGGTGTTCAGGAGTGACCGTTTGTATCTGGCGTCAACGTGACTGTGGTAGTGTAGTAGAAGTCCAGTGTCCGTTGGTTTTCTGTAAACCGTGGTGTCTAGGCGGCAACCATTCCTGATAACATTCATTCCGAGAAAGGGAAGCTTGCCATTTTCTTCGAGCTCCATTGTAAAACTGACAGAGGGATGACTCTCGTTTAGTGTCGTCAGGAATTCTGAGGCTGCTGTCAGATCCGGCATTACGCTAAGTGTATCATCTACATAGCGCTTGTAAAAGGTAGGCAACTTGTTCTCTGTTTCCAGCTGTTTCTCGATTTTGCACATGAAGGCGTTTGCCATTAGGGGACCTAGTGGCGAGCCCATAGCTACACCGTCCACTTGCTCGTACAAGTTCCCTTCAAACTGGAAGAGCTGATTTTTGGTGGCGATTCTCAACAGCTCTATCAAATCAAACTTCGTGATGTTAAGATCGTGCTCTCTGTTAAACCAGTCGTTTTCAAAGGCTCTCTCTGCGATACTCTCGATAGTTTCATCCACTGGAACATTAGTGAACAGTGACGATACATCATTCATTGAATCCAAAGTGTCCGAGGATTCACACACCCAAGTGGCTGATAAAAGAGAAGCCCCAATCAGAATCGTGTTGCCCTTCAAAGACCAGAAATCAGCAAACGTAGTACTTATTGAAATTAGCTTTTGAAATTAGTTAAGACTGTGTCCATGATAGGACCAGGCAGGCGTGACACAAGTTATCTCTCCAATAACTCCCAAGACAAAGTGAGTCTGATTTCCAACTATTCCCTGGAAGTTAGACCACCCCCCCCTGGATCTTTGCCCTTAAACATCAAAATTTCACGAAAAGAAGCATCAAAATTAGACACTGCTCCTGGTTACAACATACAAAGAATTTTAAGGTGTTTCGATACAGTTTTTCAGATGCCATACCGATATTTTTCAATCGCCTTAAAAGTGTTATGCTAATTTTTCCAAAATGATGCGCACTCTACATACCTCCATGACTAGTAGATTTTAGTTTGAATTTATCGCATCTTTTGAATGTAAAACATTGACAATACTCACACTGAAATGTACTAGTCATGGATATATGTATTGTCCGCATTAATTTGGATAAATTAGCATAACGTCAAAACAGTGAATGTTGTAACGCAGATTTTTGACCGGTTCGTAGGATAGGTTTGTCTTGAAATTTCAAGGTGTTGCAGTGAATCAATCTTAATGAAAGTTTCAGACATTTTTATATACATTATGAAGATTATGTGAAGAGATTTTAAAAAAATTCTTTCGAGTCGTTTCGGAGATATACAAGAAAGCACTAAAAGTCCAAATTCTGAATGAAGTTGCACTTATACAGGTGGTGAGAAAACGGGTTAGATTTCAAGATCGCATGAACGAAAGTACACCAAAATTTCCTAGCATCAAAATATGATATTAAGCATCATTCTCACGCTACTTAAGAATAATTTGAGTCATTTATAACGTTTTTATTAAATAACCTATCACGGCTATTGAAAATTTAAGGTTTGAAATATATTTTCGTTTTAGTCGAATTCAAACATACAGAATTTTTTACTTCTTACGGAGACTGTTTACTAAACACCAAACTTTAAGTTCCTAGTGTTGGATTTTCAGTAGCAGGTCTAGATCACACAAAATTCGGCTTTTATCAATTTCAAAGTTTTTTGTTTATTGTTGTCATAGTAATATCGATTTTACTTAAAACTACATTTTCACAAATTTCAATCGATAGCCAATTGCTGCTGAAAATTTTATAGCGATCGGACAAGGAGAAAACCACTTTTAAGACAATTAAAAAATATCGGTATGGCCTCTGAAAAACTGTATCGAAACACCTTAATCCCCTTCGACACAAACAAAGGTCAATCCTATGCCAATTGATACGGCCGGTCTCAAGTCATTTGGAGTGACAGCAGCCAATCAAGGGATGTCAGTGCTTACCCATATAACCAAAGATTATGCAATAAGAGAAAATAGCTCAAGTTTAGATCCAAATATCTGAGAAATCCAACTTTCTTTTATAAAACTGTTTGCACAACGATTTAGTCCCATCCATGATGTATAAAATGGGAAAGAATATTTCTGGCATCTCGCACAGTTTCCTGGTTTTAAAAGCTGGTCTGAGCCACGTGACTCGACAGCATCATTTCTGAGACAGAACAATGACAGAAAACAAATTAATCGGAAATAAAATGTCACACGATCCGTTTATGAACCTTATTTCTCATATAACGAAATAATTGGGTCTATGAATAATATTTTTACCACTTTAAGTCAAAGTGAAGCTTATATTCATTACAGTATCCCTTACACTGATGGCATTAACAGCGCCCAGATTACAACCATAATATCTGCATGAAGATAAGAGTGGCCAAATATTTAAATACTATATTATTACTGTTGTCAAAATGAAAAATGCCAGTGTAGCTCTTTTTGTGCTGTTTCAGTTGATTTTTAATCGCGAATGGATGATCACAGCCCTAATACAAGCCAAATACTTGAACTCGATCAATGAGTAAAATAAACAAAAACTTTTACCTTGATTCATTTATCCACAGTGGCAATCCTCTCATAAATTATTATTCGAACTGATAGAATTCGCAAACTGAAATAATAATTTCACTTTATCGATTGTTGCTTTACAGCTCCATATTTCGTGGTCTCGGAGAGAAATCGTGAGAACCTAAGCCCGGGATGTGGTCAACGGTAATTGTACTTCCTATTAAAACAGGAAGTGCTTATAAGGGTTTTAGCAAAAATATCTCCTTTCTTTTTTTTATTACTGAAAACGTCCTTTCTACGATCAGCTCATGTAAATTTCTCTCTTTAGAGTTTTTACTACTGATAACGCACTGTATCTTTAATTACAACACCTTGCGGAGTGAAGTATGGCTTCACTTTCTTGTTCATTTGTAACTTTTTCAAATAAATGTTGTGGTATATCCAAGCGCTTTCCAGGGGTAACCGAATAGTTTCCACTGACGCCATGCCACAAAGATATCAGGGCTCATCTAAGAGCAGTCAATGTGTCTCAGACAATTATTTTTACGGCTCAGCCAATCAGGAAATTGTAGACGCCAGCGTCCACGGAAATGAAAAAAAAGGAGGGGTTGTGACAGGCGTCCCTTACCCTCTCAATATCCGGTCACTTTGTAATATTAAAAAAAAAAAAACGAAATTTAGTAAAATTCAGTTGTAATAATCAAACGTTATAAAATAGAGACAATTTAGGCATTTTTCTTTTCCATTGTAGTGTGTGCAACAAATCCGGAATACAATGGTAAGAATTGAAACTACGTGTAGGTGGAATATGACAGTCGGGGTGGGTGTAATATTCCGAATGTAATCTTATTCTATATTAGATTTAAGCAATTACATGTCCCCGACTAGTAGGCTACCTGTAGCCAGCTAGAAGATGTGTCTCATTAATAAAGTTGATCAGTCAGTTACGTTCAGTCATGAATAGAACTGGTGTACAGTGCCTGACGCAGTTCGACAACCTTAGCGGCAGTCATCTCTCACCGGCACCAAACGACGGCTTCCTCCAAAATACTTTGAAAACACTTTTTAGGCTATCCAGCGTACGTTCAGTGTACGTTTAGAACTCTAGAATCGAAATGCTTTCTAAGGGCGCTTAAAAATAATTTTTGTATCTATTCGGCCATCCTAAGGGAACTTGAGGCTTTTCGAAATTACTAGTGCTTCAGTCCTATTTTACTGAAATTTTTAGATGCAATTGAACGTTTCACGAAAGTGAGAATTTTTGTTATTCCTCTCTCTATCACATTTTTGAATCCGATAATTTTAGGTTTCCTTTTTTCTACGAAAATTAGCGTAACGTGGGGAGTAAAATGCGAGAAATTAAATTTTAGAAAATCGTGAGGAATTTTTTAGTTATTATAAGCCTTCAAAATTTAACTGAATGGAAAGCTCATCTAGAAATTTGTACCCGTATTCAAGCAATGAAAAATTCTAGGCAACATTTACTTCTCCGCACTAAATTTTAGTGTCATTTCAAGTGCTTCTTTGAATCCTTTAAGGTAAAGTTCGAGTAATTTGCATGGTTCTGCAGGAACTGTTAGAGATTTCACCCTAAGAAACATCCGCACATTTAAACCGCATTGGTTTCAAGTGTGAATCCCGTTAAGGCAATGGAATTTTTTCGGGCTCAATAATCACTATTACAAACTGTAATTGTCATATCTTCATTTACACTAGCGTTGATTTTGTTTTACTTTGATTTTGCTTGCTACTTCCTATTCCTTTTATGAGGACTCGATTGGGTTTTTCAGGGTAAACACCTCCAAGTTTAAGCACAAACAAGAGGGTCTCAATGGGGTTAACCGATAGGCGTAAAACGGCCAAAAATTTAGTCGATAGCCGTAAACATTGAAAAAATTCAACCGTTAGCCTTATATAGGGTAAAAAAGAGTTAACCGTAGAAGAAATTGTTCCCTAGATTTGCTACTTTATGTACTAAACTCACTTATGGTTGCGTTTTTTATTTCCCGGCCAGTGTAACTCCGTACGCACGTTAGGCGAAGCGCCTTTTTAGGTGTTTTTTTGTATTCCATAGCGAAAGTCTGGCTTCTTGCTGGGGATTAATATCTGCAATTTTCAGGAGGTCTTGCCCTCGAAACACTAGTGAAACAACACGCAGAGATGTCACTGTTTGTAAAGCATGTTGCCGATAAACAACATTTCCCTGTTTTTCTCTGACGCTACGGTAGACATTGCCATGCCTAGTCCCTGCACAGAGTCTTCCCACGCAATCTCGTCGGTCAAGGCATTTCGGTGGCGAACTCGCTCGGACCATGTGACCCGAAACGCATTAGCCGCGCGGAATAATGCGGCCTACGGACAAGGCAACGGCAGACAATCGTTCTGTACAGTCCTTCGCTATCATTAAAAACACTGGACACGGGAATTTTATTATTGGCCGTTTTCACACCAGAGCTAGAAATGGATCATCCGTCTGAGACTAGCCTGTGTACAGTCGAGCCCTCCCAACAGAAACCCCTTCTCCGACTTTTTCTGAGGGGAGGGGGTGGCTGTACACAGGCTATCTGGAACGGATAATCCCGTCTGCAAAAGTCAGGCGGATCGTTCATTCAAAATTAAAACTGTTCCATGTTTGAAATTAAGACTTATTACCTATCTGACGCGAATCATCAAACGGAAAACCCGTCTCACACAAATAATCCTTCTCTAGGTTGAAAACGGCCATTTCTGTTATAATGAATGTCGCGCCCCGGCCTTGAGTTGGGCGTTCGCCTGTCTGCTTTTGCTTTTTCACAAAGATTATTTTTAAATTGACTATTGACATTTCTATGTGTAAAATAATAGTAGATGTGGAATACTTTATAAAAAGTATAAACATTGACCACAAAGGACTGCAAAGGACCGCAAACGAATATGCCGAAGAACGTAGGATCTAAAAAGACCTGATCAGCAAAAATGAAAAGTAGACATATTAAATTAGGGCGAAACAGCTGTCTATGGCTACAATCCCGCTCTGGTTTGAGTTCTTTCGGTGTCGTGTTGATGTATTACAGAGTTAATTTTCACGTAGTACATGTACGATCAGCATTGCAGAATTCTGCTTATAAAAAGTATGATCTATCGAATGTTAAAAAATTTCAAAAGAATAGCATATTTCATCCCAAGATGATCCGAAGACCTTTATTTTGATTAAAAGATACAAAAAAATACAGGTTAATTAATATTTATCTTTTTGAAATAAAAGAAGTTAATTTTTAACTTTTTCGTTAACCGTTACTGAAAAAAATTAACCGATAGCCGTAAAAGAGCCAAAATTTTAGCCGATAACCGTAAAAGCCACCACCCCATTGAGACCCTCAAACAACGTCGCCATAATTTGCATTAACCAAGATTTTATACGACCACAGATGTATTTAATAAGGATGAAAATTTGTAATTATCATGGTTGCAATGACGAGTTGTCATAGCAGCGAAATGAAGCCATTACTTATTTCACTTGCAGTCGTGTTTCACGGCACTTCCCAACTCCCAAAGCAACTTTTATATAATACCATTAGCTGCTACACATGTCTTTTAAGACTAGTAATTTATTTGGTTATTTTTAGTCATTTATTTGGTTATTTTTGGTTATTTATTTGGTTATTTTTAGTGTTTTTAAACTTGTTCTTCTGTTATTTACAGCTGGTGGAAGATAGCTAAACACCTTGGATGGTCGTTACTTGATTTATCAGAAGGCTTGAGCACTCTTGAATCTACTGACTCATATTCAGAAACTCTCGCTCAGCTTTTGTTTGCTGCCTATCTTATTTTTGCTCTTATCCTCCTCATTAACATGTTGATCGCGTTGCTTTCCAACACTTACCAGCGAGTGCAGGTAACTGTACATAACTTTTTAATCTAGAGTAGCCAGAGAGAATTTAAGACTTCATAAAACAGCTGCTATAAGGATTTTGTAAATCTTCAAAAGCTATTTCCAGTAGATCTCCAGTAGTCGAATTTTTCATAAGAGGGTACGAACCAATTGCAATTTATAATTTAATTGGGTTGACATAAACTAAGCCATTTATAAATTCAGTCATCTGTTGGATCAGAAGCCGAACTAAAGAGGAGTCAAACCAATCACACTTCAAATTGGGGCCAACAAGTTTTCGAAAGACAGTTTGTCGCTGCAAATAACTGTCTACGATTCAGGTTTTCCTCGTGTATGTATTTGGTTATTTCGTACAAATTTTTTCAAAATTTTGATTTGTACTGTAAAGTCGTTTTATTTTTCTAAGAAGTATTTTAATACAGTTGTGCTATAAAGTCAAAAATTGACGAGGCTTATACATTTGTATAAAATCGCCTATTTGATGAATGTGATCACGGGAGTTCACCTTTTTGTTTTGACAAACAAAACCACGTGATTCGTGCGCCAAAATCACCTGACACGCGTATCTCTAACTTCGCGGTCTACATGTTTCGGTAGTACATTCTGCTTCCCAGATAAAGTAAGATCAGTTTTGATCTTATTTAATCGTTTCTCTGCCAGAAAAAATAAACCTTTAATGACTTAAATGACGTATTGTAAACATTACCGCGTTGCCAAGGTTAAAACATTGTTCACGACGCCATATTGAGATATTGAGAGCACGTTACTAAATGAGTTCAAACGAAGATTTTCGCATTTTCTCGCCATGTTCCGTGCTACAATTGGGTCATGTCACAACAAGCATAGAACAGCGGTTTAGGGGGTCTTTGCATGAGAAAACTGGCATCGGCGCGAGTTTCATACCAGGATGACTTTTTGATTTCGTATCGCGCTTACATGATAACTGGGCCATTTCGAATCTCGTTATTTGAAGGTATACTTCATGTTGATAAAATACACGTGTGATTCAAAATTGCAAACATTACGCATGTGCTACCCGTTCCAGTCTACCGGCAGACCGATTTCACACCGAAACGGGTGGTCGTTTCGCGTTTACATGATACCGTTGCGAGATTTCGTACTGGGGTGAAATTCTCGCCCCGGTACAAGAACCAGGGTGAACTCACGCCGGGGTGACTCGCGCCGGCATGACATTTTGTGGTGGTATCACATAAACAGATATAGAGCCATAAGAGGGAACCGGAGTGAACTCGTTCCGGGGCGAAAGTCGCCCCGGTGTCATGTAAACACCCCCTTAGTCGTAACAATGATGGCGACGAGGAAAACAGCGTAGCGCCATGAGTTTGCTAAAGGCGATTTCGTGCCTGTAATAGACCGCACTGGAAGCAACTCAATTATAAGGATTTAGTCCAGTCAATCTAGGCATTTTTGAGGCTCAATATCAAACTAATTGCAACATAGGATTTCTTATGCCTCCAAAAAAGTCGAAAACATTTTCTACTTTACTTATTTATACTTAAAAGACAGCGCATTTACAGCAGTTAAAAGGGATGCAAAGATCTAAGCTAGGAGCGTTTTCTAAAAATCACAACTGGTCAGCCGGACCATGGCCGGACCAATCATTTTATCAAAGAAATAAGCTTAATCCAAGAGATTTTGCTGGAAAAACATATCCTTCGTGCATACTATTTAGGATTTTACTCGTCTGGCTGGATACTTTTGATTTAAAGTGAAATTCCCACTACGATGGGAATGGTCTGGCCCCTCAGTTGTGACAAATGGAAAGCGCCCTATATAAGAAATGGGTACCATTTTGTTATGAAAGGCATACGAAAGAGGTACTCTCAGTTTTGTCAAATATGGTACATAAAAGGATAAGGGGTTGGACCTCGGGTAGGAGCATCTCCGCATAAAACTTTGTTGACTACCTGTTACGAAAAATTGTATTGCGTGACTAGCGTGACTTTCTAGAAGGTTCGCGAGAGTTCATAGCCTGTTTATTTTAGGTTCTTATGTAAGCGTTTCTAAAAGCGGTATATTTTGTAATCTTTCTATAATTAGACTATTTAGAATGTTCTAGAACTTTATTGTAAAAGTATATAAGTAGGCGAGTTCGAGTTAAGTTTTAACTAGTTTTCACAAGCGAGGAGAGTTCGACGTTAGTCGTGTTTAGTCAAGTGTGACGAAAGCAGTGTTTATTCAAGTTGGCGGAGGCCGGGTAAAAGTTTATCAAGTTAATTGAAGTTGGCGGAGGCCGTGTAAGTTTAACGAGTTACGTACTGTTGTGGAGTTTTACTCAGTGGAAACTACGTTCATTCTTGGAATAAATCTTCTTGTTGCTGTTCCGACAACCCTGCGTTCAGTTTAGTTTGCAAGCTACCTGTCCTCTAAAAGATTACCCGCGTAACACTACCTTTTTCATATCTCTACTACTTCTGTCAATGTTTGTTTATACTGTCATTTTCTCTGCAGGATAATTCGCGAAACGAATGGGTTTTCAAAAGGGCAATTGCAGTTCAGACGTATCTAAACTATCATCCCATTCCAGTACCTTGGAATGTTTTATATATTCCAACTGTTTGGATATACAACCTAATTTGTAAAAGAAAGGTGGCCCTGAAAAAAACAAGTCAGTGGAACATTCAGGTATATTAAGGCCCGAGTTTGTCTTTTTTTTTGCTCAGCAAATGAGGGGGTGGTCTCTCTTCAAATGGAAATGTGTGGCAAGGGTGAGATGTGGTCATTGCACTATCACCATGATGGTAACGTGATGCGTGACCAAGTAACACCTCAAGTCCCTGTTTTATTATTATTATTATTATTATTTATTTATTTATTTATTTATTTATTTAAGGATTCTGCAGGCAGGTTGAAAAAACTTTTACTGGGCGTCGTATAAAGAAATGGTCTATTGTACCGGGTCCAATTCACCAAAACAATAGCCTTTTGTCCTAGGTGATGCTGCCGAAAAAAGACCGAACAGTCTGTGCATGATCGTTTAATATTCGGCGCGACAAATTTGTAATACTAGGGGGAGGAGAGAGGTTTTTTTTTGCCTTGACGCGATGCTTTTGATCGGATCGTGCTTTTATACTGATCTTTCTTAACAAAATTTCAGAAATACTTTACAGAGGACGTTCTTAAACCGTTATTAAAACAAGCTTATTATTTGCGCGTTGCGTCCTAAAATTCAAAGGTGCGATCTTTGAATTTAATCCATACCATTAGTTACTCAAATGAATCAATGAAGCGCGAGATTTGAAAGCTGAATTTAAAAACTTGCAAAAAATAAAATCGAACCGATGGAGTGACGACAGTATTTTGTCCCTCTCCCTTCCCTGTAAGTGAGTTTCACTTTGAGGCAAATGAAACCCTTACCCTCCCCCAGGAATATTGTTCACTACTTGACACTCGCCGAAGTTTCAAATTTGCCGCCTCGGTAGACATCGGAATTTTGCATGTGTAAAGACGCCATTGTTTAAGTCAAATATGGCCAATTTTACAACAGGAAACAATTACCTATTGTTTTCAAATTGGACCCGCTTTTCTTGATACGGTTTTTATTAGTGTTGTTTTTACCTATCTAAAGTACTTTCCAAATGTAACTGAAATGGTGGTATGCCTACCCTTGATGAATGTTTTCTGGCTGTCACGTGACAGAAAAACGTTACATTTCAATGACAACTTAACCTGGGCATGCCTTCCAGTTAGTTTCGTGTACATCCCGATACGCAAAACTCTTTCTTTTTTTCACTGTAAATGAGCACAAGTACCCTTGCAGAAGGCCTGGAGTTAACAATGTTAATTGGATACCTTAATGAGTCACGTGATCCTTATCTCGACAACTATCAATTAGACTTTAATTCGGCAACGCTCTCACGTACGTTTTGTGTAAATACTTTGCATATTTACGGAGACAGATCACCCCCCTTCATTTTTTCATGTTTTTTTTTTTTTTTTTTTTTTTTTTCACGTACTTTAGATCAGCCAGTCCTTTGTCGTAACTGTTTGATTTTCATGACGAAGCCCAATACTTACAGCTATGTTACGGCTAGTAGCCTATTTTTTTTTTTTTTTTTTTTTGTAGAAAGCACTCTCTCTTCTTAAATAGGCCATTTCTGAGTTATGCCAATACTCTGCTTCAAAGCAAGAGTAAAAAGCAAAACTATAAATTAATAGCGGAGCATCACGCACGCGCGAGCGTAGTTTCATAACTAATAAAATCTATTTATCCTAGAAAATTTGGTATTCAGGTGATCGTACAGCGCCAGACCACCAAAGCGTCCGTCCGCACCACAGGGAACCAAGATTTAATTTCAAACTTTCTAGTTACAGATAGTAGTTTGGGAGCCCAGCTGTCAAAACAGAATATCCGCTGCCCAGTATTACCTGACCGTATCGCAGGCTCAGGTATCAACTAATCGATGTCGAGTATTTTTTAAAGTTATTTGCTGACAAGTTACTAATTTTCGAATGATCCCAGGCTCAAGTTCAATTTTTTTAATGCATAGGAAATAAGTTTTGTTTATGCGCCGCACAGGCGGACCATCCGAACTCTTCGAGGCATTGTGATGTCACGCGCGACCTATGATCCCATATATTTACTGTATCACAAGTTATTAAGTCCATAAGGCCCGCACTCTGCTTCATTCAAGTCATCAGTGGAAATGCTTCATAAAACACAGAATTTTTGAAAAACTGCATTCTGTCCGACGTATGTAAGCTTACAAAAAATACATCACTTCATAGTACTGTTCACCTCGGATGTGATGTATGAAAAGTATAAATGGCTGGTTTACACGTTACCAGATTTGTTGTCAAGATTTTGTAAAGTAACCTTATCAAATACAAAAATATATTTTGGCTTCCGTTTTAGACAAAGGAGTGCAACTTATAAATTACAACGTCTAAATTGGCTGCCATCGAGGACAATCGTGTCTTATAACCGGCTTTTTATAGCATAAAATTATAGTTCGGAGATGTCCAATTAACCTTATAAAATAAAATTGGTGGCTTTGACTCATCGAAGATGATTGCTATTTTTTTGATATTAACTCGATGTAAAATTTGTTTTTTTTTTCTTGGACTGTTTCAAATTATTTTTCTTTAAAATCACTTAGCCTTTCCCTCAAACCTCACGTGAATGTGCGCTAATGTGCTTGATTTGATTAAATTATAAATTTATTAATGGGAACTTCGCTTTTAGGCCTGGCTAAATCTATATATGATGAAAATGATTATTATCATTTTCTTTTTTTCCATTTCATTTTCAAAAGAGAGGTTTTGCTCTTAATCTACTTTTGAAAGCGAGAGTTAGTGGAACTCGGAAATTGCCTTTTGCCTCTGTCGATATCCAAACAGAGAGCTTGCTTTCAGGCTGTCGTTCTACTTGAATTTTACTTTAAAAAAAAAACAACAACAACAACAACAACAAACTAGCAAAACATAACGCATAAGACATTTGTGTTTTTGGCAAACTGATCGAGACAGCTGAAATTGCTGCTGTTGGCGTTTTCAGAATTTGTTTGATCAATTAAATTAATGAATCAACTGGAGGTTTCCGTAACTCGAAAGTAAGAATTATCGTTATTTGCTTTAAATGTAGTTTTGTCTTCACTACTATTAAATACAATTAAAGTGGCTCCCTAGAATAAATTGGTCGTGCGCATCCTGGGTACTAGACGCCAACTTTAAAATCTGCTCGACGTCCACGCAAAAATATAAACAAAACATGGCTTCTCTTTTAAGAAATATTGCTCGAAAAAACTTTGTTAACTTTCTTGAATTTCTTAATGCAACAAGATTAGTCAGTCCTGGACAGACATTTTTACGAGAAGGAAATATTTTTCTAGTTTCAAGCCATTTATCGGCATTTAACGATCCCAACAAGCGTGAATGGCATAGTGAACAAAGACGAAGCTTTCCGTTTACGGTGTTCGCAGTCTTGGGGATAGCTGCGGCTACCTCTAAAAATACGGAAGAAGACTCTCTGCCCACATAATGTGTCAGTCAGACCCTCTCCGTTACTACCCCCCCCCCCCCGCCTCCTTCGCACCACCTGAAGCGTAGATCAAATGGTCGCTTCGCGAAAGCAACGAAATTAAAGGAACCTCTAATAAAATGGCACTAATGAAACAAGGATACCGCAACTAGCTGGCAAAAGGAAACTGGATTTTGAAAACACAACCGACAAAAACAAACCACCCTCTAAACGCAACACAAGGACTAGTCATGTGTGCAGGGCGGTGACTCTTTATCTTTGGACAAATTTTGCTAAAGTACCAAGCACGCGTTTATAGTAATTATTGGAAAAATCAAATATCTATGCTTATGCTTATATCAGGCCGCAGCCGCCGAAAAAGATGAAGCTCTTCCCCATGGAACTCGTGTAATTGACCTTGACACTTTTCGCAAACGACGTCTCCAAGGCTGCACTCACACTGTCAATTAGGTAAATGTATGTACATAATTATTTTGAAAAAAGCCTCACAGGGATGGACTTTGCTTGACTGGACTTTAACATTTGCTTTTCAGAAAAGTTATGACATTTTCTACCATTTTGTGTTTGCAAATGAATTTAGTATGTACTGTAAACCGGATGTTTTTGTTTATAGTAAGACTTTTTCAATCCTTTGTAAAACTTGCCTTGGACCCAGTGCAAAAAACAATAAAATAATAACAATATTAAATAAATAATGCACATATGTATTTTCACCCCACTTAACATTCACTGTTTCCAGTTAGCTAGTATTACTCGCATGTACTTCAGATACAAAAAAGCAAGCAAAAAGAGTAGGAACTCCTTGTGCTAGAATACAGCAAATATGCTACATGTTTTATTCACACAAAGCCTTTTTTTTATTTTACTTACCATATTTAAGTCCATTTTCTTTTTTACAATGTGAGCTGATGAAATGCGCCATGGCGTAGCTGGCACATTTGTGATTTATTTGTCCAGTCTGTTGGAAAAAACAATGAAATCAAAACTTCTGAACAACACGGGATCAGGTCGACGTGGTCAAACTGCTTTTGACGTAAACACACCAGTGGCCCTTGGTTGTCTTCATGCGGGTATTGGCCAAACCAAAGTAAACAATTTGCTCTCTTCTTTGAATAACCCAACTCTTAACTCTGTCACTTTCAAATTGAGGGAAAGTCAGGGAGGGAAAGCTGCAAAGCTGGAAAGCCTTTCAAAAAGTACCTGCAAGCAAAATTTGGCTATAGAAAAACAACAAGCCCTACAAAACGGTGTTCAGGTTGATGATAATAACCTGGTTCCTATTTCCTGATCCTATGACATGGGCAGGCAGAACCCTGGAAAGAGGCATAATTCACTCACTGGTCAAGAAGCAGTTATGGGTTTATCTTCTGGAAAGTATTGGACTATACAACAAGGACAAAAAGTTGTAGAGTTTGTGATGGTGCAGTTGAATTGTTTAACAAAGAATTTCCTTTCGACGAGCCAATCATTCTCGTATTCTTTCCTGTTTAAAATTCCTTCAAGGCACACGATGCTTTAGCAGTACGAAAAATACTTTTTGAGTCGCCGATAGCCCTTTCGGAGAAAACTGTAGTCGAGAACCACGGCGTGTTGTAACTACAAGGCACGCAGCTGAGAACGTGATATGTTTAGATAAAATCGCCGCCATATTCCAATGCAAACTTTTCAAAGGAAATCCCTATCATCCGCATTACCTCAAGAAGAACATGATTGAAAAAATACCCGGAAGTGGGCTTGTATTTGAAGATCTGCAAAGAAAGTACAGCAGGTTTGGAAAAGAACGGCGTATTGCGTTACTTTCACAACCATCTTCTTCTTCTCCATCACAACCACCACGAGTGACCACCACGGCTCGAATTTTGGCTACGATGGTCAATTACTTTCAATGAAGAAAACAATTAGTGTTCTCCATCTTGTCATACTATAACTGATGAGATATCACTGTAATTATACTAGTAAACACCCTTCAGAATTGTTTTGGTACTTTTCGTAGAAAAAACATGTTCTCAATAGCTATGTGCATTATGCGCATGCACGCTTATGGCTCACGCGAGTATCAGGCGCATGTACAGCTCCGAATCACGCTTGTTTTTCGGATTTTTGTGATGTCGTGAATTTCTCGCGTTTCTTTTGGCCAGCCTTTTTGAAATCACCTTATTTTTTAACAGTTGCAGTACCTGTATACTGTTTTGTTGTTGTTGTTGTTGTTGTTGTTGTTGTTTTGTTTTTTTTCTTTTGTAAAAATCTGTGAGAGCTAAATTCCTCTGTGAAGAAAAATTTCCAATTTCAAAATTTTGGCACAACCGTCTTAACGACCCCATGTTTTCCACTTTTAAATGTTAAGCAATATGTTAATATAATGTGGCAAAGTTTAAGACATTTCACTGAGGGAAATTAGAAATATTAAAAAAACAATAATCAAAAAAGAAAAAATAACTGCCTGTCCAAGGATGCGATGTTCCCATGGCAACGGCCTTAATGCAGAAGATGAAACTTGATAAAGGAGCTTTTTATATGATTGGGTACGCGCTGAAACTTGTGAACAAAATCGTAAAGACAATGTAACTAGATTTCCTTCTGTAACGTATGCTATAGATAACTGGGGTTGTTGGTAAATACTCTAGGGAGGCACCTTAACGCTATATGGGTTAGAAAGCTATATAGCTTAAATTGGACGTTAAGATGCGTCATTGTCTCAGTCAAGTTATCCAATAATGTTGAAAATAATGAATGTATTACTATGCGTAATTTTGTTGACTGTATCAACAAGGCAAAAAAGCACGGTCTGAAAGGAATAAAAATACTGAGGCAAAGTATAGAAGGTCATGCTGAAAGGTTAAAGTTGACGCTCTCTCAACTTTACTGATTTCAACTTTTGTTTCACTGCAGGACGATTTGAAGTTTTTACTGGACAAGTACAGACTTAAATACGGAGATTCCTTTCCTCCAAAAACAAGTGAGTTGCATTCAACTCGTTTTAAGTCCCGAAAATTCAGCTTATTCCAATTTTAATTGAAAAGGAACCATTGGGAGCCCGTTCGCATCACTACATTTCTTGTTTCATGTATATTCAGATAAAATCGACCAGTTACTTGACGATGCAGAGAATACTGAAAGCATGGTTAATCAGATTCTTTACCGAACCTTCACGCATCAAAAATGTCATGACAAAGCTCTTCTTCCTACCGGTGCAAAGGTAACTATACCATTTTAGTATTGATTATTTGAAACGTGCTCAGAATGGGGCAAGGCAGAAACGGAGAAAAAGAGCACAACAAACTGTGACTGAAAAAAGAAATACATGCAAACCAACAGGTCTGAATAACGTACTACGTATGTCCGTGACAACACTTGTTTACGAAGCAAATCCGCGCGAGGGTTAAACTTTTATCTGATAAACTCATTCGTGAGTGTTAACGCGTTAACGACGAAGAATACGTTAGAAGTGCAAGTCTTGGTGAGTAATTTTTCTAAACAAGGGATCAAGGAAAATGCTTTTGACAGTCTCGGCGATGTTTTTCATTGTTTTGATCATAAGCTTTAGCAGAAAGATGACTGAAAGAAAAAGAGCGTTGCTTGAGTTTTGGTGACTTTTCTTAGATGATGCTTGAACGATTTACTCTAATATTGAGTTATTACGATTGGAAAAGGAGCAAATCCTTTAATATAGCCGAGCGATGACCCCTCTGGGTCATTTCTTGGTGGCACGAAAGTAGGCAATGAGCGCAATGATGCCATCAGACACAAGAAATAAAGCTTTGTTGATTAAAGCTTTTAAACATACACAGATGTTAGTGCGATCAAAGAAGCCTTTTCTTACATACAGCTTATATTTACAGGGGAAAGATACCAAAATTATTTCAGTAGAGGTAGCCGTGTATATACCACTGACAGTTACATCTAAAGGAAACTGTACAAATAAGTTTTCTGAGGAATGGAAATCTCGATATGTTTCGTGTATGTTACGTACCCAGTTAGGGTCAGTTAGGTGAGCGCCGATCTGCCTAGTGGCATGCTGTGGCCTCAAACCTTGGCCGGACCACAACTCATATCTGTAATTAATAAATAACTGACACAAAAAAGCATCCTTTGCAATGTCATCTTAAAATTGTTAGACTTCCTAGTCTTTTCGGATATGGACAATAAACTGCAGGCCCTGTCTCCAAACCTTTTCAGGGGCAGGGAACGAAGTACCTAGTTCTGTAGTCTATCTTTGACGGGATGTGGTCGGCCTCACTGGCTTAATTATTTCCAAGGGCTTCCAACACTCAGGAAACTCAGGAACTCGGGAAACTTGACGTCAGCTTTGCCATGACTGCTATAACTTTACAGTCTTAAATGTAAGCTAATGTTTTACTTATCATCATAATAAAATAAGCATAGAGGTTTAAGAAAAGCTTTTCCGTTGACTTCACAGGCGTGGGAAGCCCATGAAGCTATACTGGTAGACGGTTACCTTATAACACGTCAGCCCTATGAACGCAAAGTCTCTGATTGGCGGTATGGCGCTAGATACACGAAACCTTTTTCCCCCAGATTTCCACATTTCGAGGTAAGAATACGCCATTTTCTCAATGACATCACTTAAATGCAGCCGACAAAATGCTTTAAAGGCCATATAATCTCTCATTTTATGATACGTCATGGGGTGACACTCCGAGGTTGGTTACTAGATCTGCCAGACTTATCAACGTCAAAATTTTGCTCAGAAGCAAAATTATTTCTTTTCAAGGTGATGATTCTGGAAAGTGGGGAAACACGATGGCTGGGGATAGGAGTAGTGTTTGACCATTACGGCACAGATAAGATGCCTGGATGGAGAGAGGAAACAGTTGGATTTCACACAGATGACAGCAAAATTTTTGATACACAACATTGTGATTTTGGCAAAAGGACTATAGGTTTGTAATCTAGTATATTTTTTAACTTTGATTTACGAAGGCAAAATATTACATTGGATGACAAGAAAATGTACGACACACTGGAGAGAAACATGAAAGAAAATCTGATTCAAGGAAGCATAGTATTACGCTTGAAAATATTTTGGGTTACATGTCAAAGTTAGTCATAAAGAGAACATAAGAGTGTATCTCGGAAGGCTGACGAAAAGGCAAAGTTGCAGTCAAAGTTTTTGATGATCCGTTCTATTTTTGCTCATTTTATATTATCGATTTTCGCATTACCCCACTTGACAGTTTTTACTGAAAAAAAAAAAGAGGCTGTAATGTTTCAGATGTACTACTACGAGTGCCTATTAGCTGATTTTTAACCCTTCAATTTGTAAAGACGGTGGTTGGTAAGGAGTTTAATTATTATTATTTGTTTTTTCCTTATTAAGGCTCTACCGCAGCTCGCCGAGGTGACGTCATTCGATGCACTGTCGTGTTTGAAGAGAAGCGAGAGGTAGATGGTCAAATCCGAGTTCCTGTTGTTTTTAGTGTAAACGGAAGCAAGATAATTCCCAAAGATAAGAACCAACCTTCTATTGAATACAGCATGGACAAACCTCTGTTCCCTTACCTGGCCTTTCGATACGAAAACAGCGTTCTGGCTAAGGTAATATTACCGCGGTAGACAGTTTGTTCTAAACATGGAAGAGATCCATAGCTAAATTGCTGTACTTAGGCACGTACCAATCCAACAAATACAGAGTTTGTGGTGAGAAAGAATACAACGAAACAAAACCAAAAATAAAAAA